ATAGTAATATGGCTTAAATTAGAGTAATGCGGTAAAACTAAGTAGGACTGGTATTATTATTTTATTTGAAGACCAATTTTGAACAATCCTTCTGGGATAATTGATGATGGTGTGAAAATGATTTTTGGGAAATGAATGATTTTGCTAAATATTTCTATAGAGATGTTCTTTTAGGGGTGGGAGAACACCAGCCATTTATGGCTGCTTTGCTCTGGTGAAAGATTTCCACTCCTTTCTTGCCATCTGCAAACCTGCTGCAGCTTGGAGTATCCAGTTCTCTTTTAAACTCCTGCAGCTGATACGGGAGACTCAAATCACAAGAACTGGGAAGAAGGGACCATCAGGTAAACTTTATGTTTGTGTATATTTGTACTATCGTCCACAAAACTCTAGATTAAGAACTGGAAGCTCCGGATCTCAGATGCTCAATAGCTACATGGTTTAGAACCAGCTGTTCTGTTCATCATAATTCTGTTTTTTTCCCATTTGTGAGTTATGTTGCTGACATCAATGGGTTACAACAGGGATCCAATGTGTTGTGGAAATGCAAAGTGTATTATAGATTCATTATTACTAACTCTAAAGTAATTCTGTGCTGCTTCTCCACCCCACTTTCCCAGCATTTTTGCCTCTAACCCAACACTGCCCTTGTTGATAGGTTGTCAGAGGCAGTGCCCTGCACTATGTGAGATGAAGAAGCTCAAGAGAGAGGCATCAAGAGGTCAGTTGCCCCAGGTTACCAGCTACACCCCCCACTAAGATTCATAGCCTGGAAGAATATTTCTGATAATTACTGTCCAATAACAGAAATGTTTCTGAACAATTATTTATTCTAGTTCTGAGTTCTCTCATTCTCATCTCTAAAATTAAGACATAGGATTGGTATGAAGAAGGCTCTTACCCTGAAAGTCACTGTTTCTGTACTAGAAAGAGTTCCATCCACTTTATGAAGTTATGGGTTGTGTATGATGGGGCTTGGTTTACTGAGTTTTGCATGAGATGGGTTTTCAAAATGACAGCATGTTACAAAATACACATATTTTATTATGTATAAAGTACATATTTTAGTGGGCGTGGAAAGGAATGTCTACTGACTTATATGAGGCAGAGCAGAAACTTGGTATTGATATTATAGGTGCATGATTTATAGGTCTGAACACATAATCAGAAGGGTTCTTTAGAAGGAATTTTTTTCATTCTTTATGAGGGTTCACAGACTAAAGAAATAATAGTTTAAGGTTAAGGAATATTAATATGTGCATAGGCATCAAAAAGCTGAAACCATAACTAACTAGACTACCGTCTTACCACCAACACAGGGTTTCTCAACAAGGCCATTCCTGACAATTTGAGCTGGATAATTCTTTGTTATGGGGCAGTCCTGGGCATTGGAGCATATTTTACAACATCCTTGGCCTCCACTCACTAGATGCCATTAACACTCTCCCACTTGTGACAAACCAGAATGTCTCCACACATTGCAAAATGACGCCTATGTTTGTTGGGGGCAAAATTACCCTTGAGAGGCAAAATCACTGCTGGTTGAAAATTACTGTTTTAATTTTGTGGTTAACAATAAGCACTTAACAGCTACATTCTGACAGCTTTAAGCTGCTGGTGATAGAAGGGGGGAAGTGAGTTGAGAAGACTCTCTACTCAAGAGAGACAGCAGAAGAAGTTCAAGCTCAGTTCAAAATGAGTCCAGGAAGACGTTTGGAGGCACTATGGAGGTCTTTCCTTGCAGAAGGAAATTCAGCCCTTTTTTCCTTTCATGTTGCCACATGCCTCCTTTCTCTGACTCTCCAGTAGGAAGTTGTGTCTCAAAGCTCTTCTTTGAGACTTCATCCTGCCTTCACCTGGATGATTCAGTATTTACACAATGGCCGATGACATGAGAAAGCATCCCAGAGGTGACATGGTTATTTGCCCTGGCCTCATCCACAGATATGTCTCTGACTCCTGTAACAGCCTTGTCCATAAGTTTCAAAAAATGTAATTGGAAATTCCACCTCTTCTCTTGAGGCTTTTGTAATGGTAACTTTTTCCCTATTAATTGCTCATGTTTCTTTTAACCTAATATTTTCCTGTTAGTAGAATGCATGTATACTGAGTGATTTGCTCCAAACTTCATACATCTAAAGGATATCTTTGCTGGAAGATCCTTTTTATCATTTTTTCTAAATTTTTAAAAACAAAATGTTTGTCAGTATATTAAGGGAGAAAACAGATACAAAATTGTACCATAAATAAAAGGTGGGAAAATCGTTCTACCAATGAAAAGCTGAAGCTAACAAAAGTGAACGATTCTGTCCAATATATCAGCAGGGAAAATGTGATCTAAAGCATGAGGACATAGGTTTGCATTGGAACAGGACAGCGGGAGTGTTGGATACAGAGCCAGGTCTTGCTAAGAATGATCTTAGAACTGAAGAGCAAAAGAACGAGACCCAGCCCCCAGGAAATGGGACTGGCAGGAATGAAGAAGGAAGCAGTTTCCAGACAGCTGGCTTGCTATCCAAAAGGCACTGACGCCATAACACTAAGGGTATTAACTCATGAGTCCTCAAATGTTGTAGGTAGAAGAGTCAGGTAGAGCCTGGACTTACCATGTTGTGGATTTGTCAATACTTTTAGGTGTACTGGAACCATAGACATACTTAGCGTAAGCACCCTTAGGTGAGCAAGGGTAGAAGAGGGCAGGGAGCCTATTCCTAAAATGGATGAACCTCTGACAATGTAATTATGTTTAGAAGATATGAAACAAGCCCTGGCAATATCCTCCATATGTATCAAGGACTGTGGCATTTCATGCAATAAATTATTATTTTTTAAGGGTTATTTATTTATTTATACAAGAACCGGAGTACAGACCAGACGCGCGATGGTGTGAGAGAATTCACCAGAGACAGAGCATGGAATGTTTTAAATGCACTAAAAAAGACATTCTTCTTAAATTTGAGCTTATGACAGAGTAGATTATTCTTTATTATTCAGTAGATCTAGTGAGAAACTAGTGGGTCATGCATTACAAAAATCAAAACAACTGGCCAACAAATCTTTTTCAAGTATAAAAGTGAGCTCCTGGGAATTCCTGTGGTGTTAGCTTGGGGATGGAAAAGCAACTTCTATACTCAGGGAGTGTCGAAATCTGTCACCATTTCCCTTTTTTCTTTCTTCTACTGTGCCTCAGCCTCCAAGAATTCAGTGTCCGCAAAAGCAGTTGGTACAGAGGATGTAAACTGCTTTTGGAGATCTTTCCTCTCTGTTTAGTGGAATTCTGGTTTCAAGATGTAGAGGCCAAACCACTGCTTTTCATTCTCTCAGTTCTCCCGCCATTTGACCATGGACATGGGCTTATTTGTGAAACTTTCCTGCAACCAGAGTTAACTACGGTCTTTGTTCTCTGGCTGAGGAATGGGAAGAGGATCTACGGCATCTAAGAGAATATTGGGCAGAACACCACGAGGGAAGTTCTTGGGAAAATGACTCTCACAGTTGTTTATGTGCTCCTGGGATGGCTCCCAAGCTCATGTGATTCAATCTGATCCTATTTAGCATATGAGACGAGGCACTGGGCATCGCAGACACTGGAGAGAGGTCCAATAGCCCTGCTAAGGCTCTGAAAACAAAATATTGGGGCCACTGCTGGCTGAAGGTGGGCTGGAACTCTTTTTCTGAATCTAGTCAGGTATGCTTCATGCTAAAACTATGTGTCAACATTTATTGCCAGTTTTATGCAAGACTCAATGACATCATTGAAGATGTCCAGAATATAATCCAAATTACTCAACTTCCGAGGAATCAGGAAAGTTTCAACCCTGAAAGATAACATGTAAATTTCAATGCCGCAGTGACACAGCATTTGAAATTATTTCAAAGACTTAAAACAGCTATTTTAAAATGCTCCAGGAAGCAATTACAAAGGCTCATGAAACAAATGAAAAAAAAATATCTTAGAGAAAGTAATATTAAAAGCAGATAAAAATTTAAAAAATCTGAAAAACCATATAACTGAAATCAAAAATAACCTTACTAATAAACTCAGTGGATGAACTTAATCGCAAAAACAGGGATATCTGAGGAAAGATCCCGAAAATGTGATGACAGATCAATAGAAATTATCCAGTTCAAACAACAGAGAGAAAAGACAGGGAGAGAAAAAGAACATAAATCTCAGGAAACTTTAGGATAATAGAAAAAAGCCTAACATTCATTTCATAAAAATCCTAAAAGGAGAGGAAAGTGATGCTGAAAAAATATTCTTAAAATATGGTTAAAATTTAAGAAATTTGGCACAAGATATACATCTACAAATTTAAGATAATGAGCAAATCCTGACCGGGATAATCCCAAGAATATCCATTCCCACAGTATGACGAATATATATATTTACACATAAAAAACTAACGAGAAAGAACAAACTTGAAAGCAACCAGAGGAAAATGTTCATTGTTCATAAAGAAACAATGATTCTCATGACTATGATATTCTTATCAGAAAGCATGGAGGCCAGAAAGAAGTAAGAAAATGTTCAAGTGTTAAAAATAAAGAGCTATCAATTCAAAACTGTGTAGCTGGTAGAAATATCCCTCAGAATTGAAGGTGAAAGAAATGCATTCTTACATCAGGAAAACTAAGAGTTTTCATTTTATTGGGAAACTATTATTGGGAATACCCATTCCTCTCGTCTCTATGCTCACTAATTCTATTAAAGATCTTTCACACCAAGAGTATGTTTCTTTTTTTTTTTAAGTTTTTTTTTAAAGATTTATTTATTTATTTATACATTTATACAAGCACTGGGTACAGTCAGAAGCGCGGGAGGGTGAGAGAATTCACCAGAGCCGGAGAGGGGAACAGAACAGAGAGTGACGAAGTACACTGCTGAGGGGAGCAGCGGGCGGCAGGAGAGGTCTGCGCGCCATGTGGGACCCTCGTCCGGTGGCCGGGAATCAAACCGGTGCTGCAGAGGCTGCAGGCAGCCTCGCAACCCAGCGCTCAACCACTGTGCCACGGGGGAGGCCCAAGAGTATGTTTCTTTTCTTTTATCTTTGTGTGTGTAGATGGTCTAATGCCTTTCAGAGAAGGCAGAACTTGATAGTTTGGGGTCCCTAGGTGCCCCTTGGTTCCATGCTAACACTCTCAAGGCAGAACCCATGGAGCAGCTTCTGGGAACTCACACGCCAGGGGAGGTGGCTAAGTAGCCTTATGGAGCCTAGTTCCAGCTTCAGGGTCAGTTTGGAGGTATATTCTTTTGACTGCCTTGCCCAATAAGTAAGGTGATGAAACCAGCGAGGTCCAAGGGCAAACGTGAGCCCACTGCCACATTTCTTTTGCTGTAAAATGAATTGTTTGGTAGGAAGTGACGGTGTGTGAGTTAAAATAGATCTGGGATCAAAAGGAGAATAACAATAACAGGTCCTGTTCCAAGTCTGGGCTACACTGTCCCATGGGCCCTGGAGATAATGTTGCTAGTGTTAATCTACAAAGTTTAAACTGGCTGCTCCAGCTTGTGACCCTTCTCATTTTAGGAATGAAATCCCACCCTCAGTACCAAAGGGCACACAAGCGTCTTCCTCTAAGACCTCTCTCTGCCAAGTTCCCAATGCTTCATCAAAACAGCTAAACAGTGTAAGGCACTTCTCCTTGAATGTAAACTGAAGGGCTTGTGCTCATTGATGAAGGCAAAGAGATAGCTGGAAGGTGGAGTGTTATTTTGGAACTCCTGCTCAGTGCAAGCGACACAGCTGGGGGTGGGGTGAGAAAAGCATGTCATATGAATTTTCTCACTAGTAGGACCTGAAATCCAATACACAGGCCTGTTACACTTGGCCATAAGCAGTCCTGCACAAGCCATGAGTCACAATGCTCCTGTTTGTGCTGTCACAGAATGTGAGTGAAAGCAGCATTCATATTCTTCTCTTCACCAGCAATACCCGGGGAAAGTAACAAAAACAAAAACAGGAAAGTCATTGGCCTGAATTTGACGTTTTTCTTTCCAATGTCTCTTTCTGGGGAACACAGAATACTACTACGATAGAGTGTCTACCATAATAGATGCATTGAACGTTATAAGAACATGTAATAGGAACATTTAATGCTGACCAAGGAGAAAGGGACCCAAAAGCTGGAACACAGAGGATGAGTAGAAGTTGCCCAGAGAAAAGTGTGTATGAGTACGTGCTGAGGTTGATGGGGGATGGGAGACTGAAGAGGGCTCCAGGCAGAAGGAATGGCCTGTGCAATGTCCTGCTGACAAGGACAACATGCTTCTAGAAAATATAAAAGGAAATTAATTAGCCAAAACACCAATTAGAAATCACTGGCTAGCAAGGGATTAGGTAGGAGGAATAATTAGGGCTTATGCTACTAAACAAACACTTCTACGGACAGCCAGCAGCCTATGGAAGGTGGGATAACACAGGTGGGTTTGCATTTTAGGAACAGCACTTTGGCTGCAGCATAGAGAACAGTCTGAGGGGTGAGGATAATGGAGGCAGGATCGCCATACTGGGCAATCTGTATGGTAGCTCATTCAGCCAAAAGATGATGATCTAATCACAGTAGTGATTAATAGAGACCAAAATACATGGATACATTTCAGGGATACTGGGCATCCCTGGTTGTTCAAGGGGTTAAGATGCAAGCTATGAAGCTATCCACAGCCATTGCAGCATGAAATCGATCCCAAGACAGGGAGGTGACCCACATGCGCAGCAGACCTCTCCTGTCTCACCTGATGCTCCTCTCAGCAATGTTTTTCAGTCCATCTGCCTCTTCTGCTCCCCACTCTGTCTCTGGTGAATGCTCTCACCTCTGGCACCTATTCATATAAGAAATATCCCATTCATACAAGAAATACAAGAAATATCCCATTTCTTGTATAAATATATAAATAAATCTTTAAAAAAAAATTCCAGGCTGCTTAAGGGACATAGAATTTTGAGTACTCAACATGGGGAATGAGAGAAAGTTCAATGGGTGGCACTGTCATTCTCTTGAAGGAAATAAGGAGAAACAGCAAGTACAGAGGAGAACACAATAAGGTCACAGTCAGTGATGTGCTCCATCTGGGCACACCCCTGTGGAAAGAGCTTGGCAGTTGTGCCTGCTGACCTACCCAAAGTACACAATATTTAAAGATGAGCAAGAAGATTTCGCAAAAAACCCAAAAGTGGTGAAGAGATAGGAGGAAATGATATTGCTTAAGTAGGTCAACTAACATCACATGGAGTATCAATATCCAGGACTATTATTGAGAAGCTTCCATTTTTTCACTTATATTTTTATGTGAGTAGTACAGTGTGTCAGTTCTCACACTTTTTGGTTCTATAACGTTGTCTATTTTTTTGAATCATTGAAAATTCAAAGCTGATTACATGGCTATATCTAACAATATTTATTCTACTAGAAATAAAACATTAGAGAAATTTTAGACATGTATTAATTCACTATAAATAACAAGTGTATTACTAGTTAATGTTTATGAAAATAACTATTTAATACAAAAATTAGTGATAAGAGTAACATTATTTTTTAAAAGTATGCTTTTTTTCAAAACTCTTTAATGTCTGGCTTAATTAAAAAACAGCTGAATTACCCTACCTGGTTCTGCCAGCATTCTGTTTTGCTATCACGGTTTATGCATCCTTTCGAAAACTCCCATTTGGTTTTGTGGTATCACAAAACAATAAGAGTGAAAAAAAAACTAAATAACATCTTAAATATTTATTAAGAGTTGGATCTTGCAGATCCCCAGAGATGGTCTCCTAGGATTGGGGGACTACACTTTTAGAATCCCTGCCCCACGGCAGGAGAGCTTGACAATACAGACAATCTCAGAAACATATTCTTGATGCCACAGCCAGGAGCAGACTGGAATAGACCGATTGAGATTTCAAAGATGATTTTATGAGAGGTTGTCTGGTTGATATCACTTCTCAAAGTTGGGAACGAGCCTAAAAATGTTCAATCAGTTCATTCATCAAACATATAGTATAATTTTACATTATATGTCAGGAACTAGACAGCAGGGCTCTTTCTGTTCTCTTTGGGGCAGATTAAACAGTGAACAAATAAACTAGTAAAATATGTATAAATATAATGTACAATTTATTTATCATGTATATGTAAGGAATGCAAATTATATGCAGAAAAATAATGTGAAGAGGTATAGGGAAGACTGGAAGACTGTGCACAGGACAAAGGAAGGGCTCCTTAGGAAGGAATTATTTGAGTAACGACCTGAAGGAAGTGAAGGAACCAATTGGATATGTGGCAAAAGTGCTTTCCCAGATTTTAAAAAAAAAATCTTTAATTTTCCCCCTATTCCTTATGTAATCAAATCTGTTGTGTCTGGCATTAGCTGCAAGTGTAAGAAGATGAAAGAACTGTTCAGTGTCTGCTAAGTACCAAGCATTTCATTAGCTTTCATTTCCATATGAGATTTGGGACTTTCTTTTTTTTTTTTTTTTTAATAGAGACATGTTTTTCATTTATTTATTTATTTGTTTGTTTGTTTTGTTTATACATGCACTGGGTACAGTCAGAAGCACGGGAGGGTGAGAGAATTCACCAGAGCCAGATCGGGGAGCAGAGCAGGCAGAAGGACAGAGGAACACTGCTGAGGGGAGCAGCAGGCGGCAGGAGAGGTCTGGGCACCATGTGGGACCCTCCTCCGGTGGCCGGGGAGCAGCTGGGATTGAGCTAGCGCTGCAGAGGCTGCAAGCAGCTTCGCAACCCAGCGCTCAACCACTGCGCCACCGGGGAGGCCCAGATTTGGGACTTTCAATAAGATTTTCAACTTAGTGAAGGAAATAAAGCACATGTACACGATTCCTCTAGTTGTGTAGTTTTTAAGAACAGAAATAGCTGGTTTGAAATTGCACCGCCATAAGTTTTTATGCACCGGATCTATAGAGTCTACAATTCCCTTTCAAGAGGTACAGATGTAGGAAGGGAATTCTTCATTAAAGGAGGGTAAATCCGGAAATTCGTACCTGGTCACACTTAAATGGTTTACTTGCGTTTACAAAGTGTGTCATAAACGATCTCACTTACTCTTCACAGCAATCCAAGAAGCTGGTATTATTCTAAGACATACGATGGCCTCCATTTCTGAGCTGAGCTAACAGGTTCAGAAGGCGAGATAAATTAGCTGGCCATGTGTAGAGTTGGGACCTACTTTTACCGTAATTTGCCTTTCCGCACAGTGCTTCCCCACGCCGCACAGCTGTTATGAGCAGCATCTAAACCAAAAAAAGCGCTACACTCCCCTGGCTCAGCCCCTTCCCTTTGCCAACTGCACAACCAAGCCCAACGGAGGCCAGGGCCGGAAGGAGGAAGTGCGCAGGCGGGTGAGGTCACACACTTCCGCCCTCTAGGTTTGCGCTTGCGCGCCAGAGGACTAACCTGTCGGGGAAGCCGCCTGGAACTCTGGGTTGGCGCAGACGCAGAGCAACCTCCAGGCGGAACTGGGGCTTCGCTGGCTCCAGGGACTAACACACCCTGTGTGAAAAGGTGGTGGCAGCGCAGAGCGGTGCGCATGCGCGGGCAGGACTCAGGGTGAAGGGGTGAGAGCCGGACCGGGCGGCCAGCTGGGCTGGAGCGGAGCAGCGTCAGGATGGACGAGGACGTGCTGCCCGCCCTGAAGGTCCTCATCATCGGCGAGAGCGGCGTCGGCAAGTCCAGGTGAGGCGGCCCCGCGGTCGTGACGGGGGCGGCGGACGGGGCCGCTGTGGCAGCGTCTCCCGGGCCGGCCGGGAACCGTCAACGGCGCGCCCCGAGTGGCCGCGCGGGGTCCCCGCTTGTGCGCCGCGGGCCCCTCCGCCTCGCGGCCCGGCGGCCCCGGCTCCCGCGGCCTCGCTGCCCGCCCTGCCCGCCCCGCCCCGCGCCCGCAGCCCCCGCCGGCCCGCGCCGGCCCGAGTCGCGGGTCTTGCTCCCCCTGTCGTGGCGAGAGCGCCCCGCGGCTGCCGCCCGCCGCGCGAGGCCTGGGCGCCGGGGCCGCGCTGGTCCCGAGGCTTGCCTGGGCGAGGCCGCGGCCCCGGGCTCAGGCCGCTCGTGCCCAGGCGAGCTGGAGTCCGGACTTTATCACTTCGGGATTCAGATTGGACTTTCTCTAAGGACGTGACGCGCAGGGAAGCCTCGTGACGCCACAGGTCGCTGTCCTGGCCGCGCTGCAACGCCCGCCCCGGCTGCTGCTGTCGTGTTTCATGAGTCAGCCCTGAAAGATCTCTTTGGCCTTCCAGCTGCTTGACTCACTCCCTGTGCTCTGAGATAGTTTTGCTGAAGCTGTGAGCCACCTTGACAAACGATGGTTCCATTCTGCCGCAGCACAGAAGATAACCGAGTGTTGTTTTTTTTCTTTCTAGGCAAGAGGGGAGTGATACTGACAATAGTTAGACTTGAGTGTGTGGCGGAGACTTGGAGCTCGCGGTGTAGGAAGAGCTTCCTGATTTCGTCCAGGTCTGTGGAGCAGTTCCCCAGGTGAATTTATCCTCACCATATTTCCTGTTTTTGCTCCTGATACGCTTATATGTCAGGTCACTTTCTTAATTGCTTCCTAGTTAAGGATTTTTAGAGACTTAAGGATTTGAAATCTTATTCTCTAATATGTTCTGAAGGTTTATATATTTTTTAAGTATGGTAATCTATTTTCATATTTTTCTCCTTTAATGTCCTCTGCACCGGAGTGAAGGATTTGTGTTCAACAAGGATTGCATCCTGGAACACTGGGTTTGGGAAAGTATAGGGTATGGGGGCGCAGAGGAGGGTGGGAGGGAGAAAGAAAGGCTAGATAGAATGATCACCATTTGTTTTGATGGTTTAATAGGTTTATACTAGCATTATCTCAATAAGAACTCCATAGCCTTGTGAGCTTTCTTTGTTTCTTGAGATGTGACTGTCATTTCGGTTAAGGCATATCATATTGCTAAATCTGAAGTCAAGATGAAAATCATTTCATGTGATTCAACCCAATAAATGGCAGGGCATTTTTTCTCAATGTATTGGGTGGATCACTGCCTAGGAAGGCTCTGCAAGAGGTTTTTTGAATATGAACTTGAAGTACAGTGTTGATTTGATTGAGGTTCTTCCACCACACACCAGTCTTTTAAGTGATTTCTTGTTTGTCGTTCCCCTCCCGCAAAGGTATGTGGATCTAATCTGTTGCAAACTTTTCTTCCATACTTAGTAGTGAGTTGTCAGATGCTCCCTGCAGTAGTTGAACACCTTTAATAACTCTTTCAAGAAGGATGGCGTTTGTGAAAAACTGTCTTATTTTTCTAGCAAGATAAACATTATTTATGATATGCTATGGAAAATAAACCGTGATACTTATTTTTCTGTATAAGATGAAAATAAATAATTCCACTAAAATGGAAATAGATGCTTTTTAAAGTGAGTGAGTATAAAAACATGGGTCATGGATATAATCTGAAAGTGTTCTAGCCAGTTGTTGGTTTCTGTTTTTGCAGAAACCCAGTGTGTCAATGATAGATCACTTGTGTTGTTGAGAAATCATTGCACAAGTGTCTTTAATTCCAATTTGTGGGTTATTTTTCAAGTTAATTTCAGACTGTTGGAGAATAAACTATGTGTGAGATCAGGATTTTGAAATTAATGCTTCCATTTATGTGACCTTATGTGAACACTGAAGGCCTTCATTTTTCACTTTGACAAATGAGGGTAGAATAGAAATCTCTCAAACCCTATCTGATGTTAAATATGTCAAATTCTTTGATTCTGTGTCTAGGCATAGTGAACTAAAGTAGCAAAGTGTTTCAGAAGGGGTTAGAGAAACCTATTATCCAAATTGCTTGCCCTCCAATGCCCTTTTTATCCCCTTTCTTTTTGGCCTGTTTCATACCTGGGATGCAACCGGTGCTGCAGAGGCTGCGGGCAGCTTTGCAGCCCAGCACTTAACCGCTGTGCCACCAGGGGAGGCCCTGCTTTTAAAGTTATTTTATGTTCCAGAAGTGATATGACCTTCACTTTAACAGCACAAATAATGTAGGATATGGATGGTATTTGTTGTTCAACAATCAGAAAAATTCATAATATTTTGCCTCCTCATTGACTCTCGGGCTCCTAGCTTAGGCGCTCGCTCACACATAATCATCAGAGGAGATGAAATATGCAGGTGCACTCTTACAGGGAACATTATCTGGTAGCCTGTTATTTGAATAACATTTTGAAAGACTGCATTAGAGAGACAATTAATATGGGAAGAAGATAGAAAATGAGGGTGAGAGCCCAGGTTTGTTCATGTATTTGTATGATTTCATCAGTTGCCCATCTCAGAGAATAAAATATGTCTTAAGAAGAAATAATTCAGTAAAAAGGGAAAAATAAACAGAAAATAAAACCTTGACTTATTAGTAAATTCAGGAATCTAGTTTGCAATGTCTCTTCCTCTCCACGTCTCTCCATCCTATGAGAGAGAAAGAGAGATAATGACTGTCACCGCTACTGGTAACATCTCTTTAAAAATTGTGCGTACTTACTAAGAATGTCTTGCATTCATGCAAATATCTGTTTCTTCAATAAACGACAAAAAATCAATCTTTACAGCTTCTCATGACCTACAATTGATTCTTGGCTCAAGATTTAGTTGGCTTATGATTTTATGGATGAATTGTGCATTAGTTTAACTCCTGGATTATAGTTGTTTTTATTGTTGTTGTTGTTGTCGTTGTCTTGGAGAAAAAAAATAGAAATATATTAAATTTCTTTCCATTCAGGGTCTTTTAAAATCCTTATCTTGATCATTTTACTCATCATCTCAGTGGTGATAGTTATTATTTGGATGATTGGATAGTCACATGGGTTAATTCAACCTAAAATTTTGAGAGGATGAGAATCATTTTATTGGAACAACAGAGCAACAGAGGAGGAAAAAAGTGGCATCATTCGGATTTCATTAAGAAAACCCCTGGGTGTTGGACAAAGCTGTACAAAACATTGTCCATCACCTGCTTTCACACCAAGCATAGGCACTCGCTCCTTGACTCTATTTTGCTGTTGCTGATATAGTTGTGTGTTTCCCTGAAGTAAGCCCGCCTCCATGTGTTTGTAGTGTCTGATAAACTGATTCTCCATAAATGCTTAGGGAACAGACTTTGAGTTGGAGGAACAATTTCCCTTTGGTTGTTTTGGTTGTGTCACATTATGGAATTCCTTTTCCTCCTCTGCCTTTCAAAAAGGTAGCTCTCATAGAGAAATTGAATGGTTCCTGCATTTGGGATTTTGCTTCAACACAGCCAGCTTGTGCTGAAGATCTGGAGGGCGTGGCTGGAGTCCCCAGTGAGTGATGACCTTTGTTAAAGTGAAATGAGATGTGGGCTCTTTCTTATGAAATCCCCCTAGAATGTCAGTTCACTTTATGGCTATTCCACTTAGAAAAATCTAAAAACCTTACGGTGAAACTTCAAATCTAAAAAACTGTTAAGATAATTAAGTGCCGTTTGAATTTTAATTCAAAATCAGTTTCTTTTAAATACCCCAAAATTGATGTTGATGCTAAGTTTTTTACAAAAGAGAATAATCATGATTGATAATGTCATAGGAGTGTACTTCTTTTTACCCACTTTTTCAAATTGCAAGTCACTGCATGTTAACACACATACATACAACACACGTTTCTCAGACCCTTACACATTGCAGCCACCTTCCCATCAGGGTGCGCACAAGCATGCAGCTCCCTGTGTGGTGCTGAGGGCTCACATGACCTTGCTGTGTTCCACGGTGAATGGCAGGTTTCTCCTTGACCGATATCACTTCCTAACATGTGCATTTGAGTATCTGCCTTGAGTGTTTCTTCCTCAGCCCACGGGCAGAGACCGCTGTTCACTTTCTTCATTGTTTTATGCTAAAAGCCTGGAATAGTGTTTGCCACAATGCAAGTGCTTTAAAACAAATTGTGAAGTAAATGAGTTGTTCACTTTTAACACTGGGAATGTAAAACCAGGACAAAGGCCTATTAGTACGGCTGTTAAAAAGACAAGTGCACCCCCACCCCAGTCCCCTGTTCTCCTCCCTCCTTCCCTCTGCAACCTGTCCTTCCTCTTTCCCTGCAGGATGTCTCTGATTAATAGTTGCATGTTTCTTTATTCTGTTTTGTACTGTTGTTATTTTTTTACACTGATGTCTTATTTGGTTCCCCTTTATCCCTGCTATAAGTGAAACCATCCTATATTTTTCTCTTTCCATCTGGCTTATTTCACTGAGCATAATTGGTGAAGGAAATTCTATGGGGACTACATCTGAAAGCAGGGAACAAATGTTGTTTAAAAATGAACAATGATGTCTAAATTAAAAAAAAAATATTCTCACCAAGAAAAAAGGGCAGAAGTGTTGCCAACCACCCCTCTGTAACTCACTTCCTTCTTCTAATGGAGGGCATTCTTTGAATCTGTTCTCCCTACAGTGTTTGAAATGGCTAACAAAGGACGTGGTTTTAGTGGCTCCTCCTTGTGGGTGACGTCATTTCCGATCCCTGAACTGCCTCTAGAGATGGTCTGGACAGGAAGAGTGTGTTTAGGGCATCATCCATACAGAGTTTGGAGAATGAGACCCTTAGCAGTCAGATGCCCTTTGAGAAAATCTTGAACTTGAGAAGTCTCAAAACCTTTTCCTTTTCAAAGAAAAAATTTATCCTTTCCAATTCTATATAATAAGAGAGATCAAATTATTATTTTCTATTGGTAAAAAAATAAAATAGTTTTAAACCTACAATTACAAGGAATATCACTTCCTTTTTTTACAGCATTAGGTAATACTTATTTTTATTATCTGTATCTGTTTATAAATAAAATATATATCCATTATACTTTAAGTCTCATTTAGGTATCAAATTTAACTGATAAAGAAAATCCAAACAGATCAATTACTAGCAAGGAGATTGAATCAGTAATCAAACCCCTACCAAAAAAACAAAAGTCCAGCACCTGATGGCTTCAGTGGTTAATTCTTTTTTTTTTTCAGATATATTTATTTATACAAGAACAGTGGTACAGACCAGATGCACGGAAGGATGAGAGGATTTACCAGAGACAGAGTGGGGAGCAGAACAGGCAGACGACCAAAACACACTGCTGAGGGGAGCAGCTGGCGAGACAGGATAGGTCTGTTTCGCCATGTGGGATTCTCCCCGGCCGGCTAGGATCGAACCTGAGCTGCTGAGGCTGCGGACATCTTAACATTGTGGCGCTCAACTGCCCGTGCCACCCAGAAGGACCCAAAAGTGGTTAATTCTTCAAAATTAAAAAAAATAAAAATATTGATAGCAACTTCAGTTCATCCAAATATACGATTAAGAAAGTGCATAGAAAAGTCCCAGTATGGAAATTAAGTAATAATAATTTGAACCTTTACATAGTAATGCATATAGGAAGTACAGTACACATAAAATCCCACTGATAGCATATATAATGTAGAAAATTCTTAATTCCAGGCAGAAAGGCTAATGATAAGAAGGAAAAAAATAGAAAAAAATGGAAAGTTTTACCTTATATGCAATTTTTATAGTTTACATTAAAGATGACAACACTTCCTAATTGAGTAAAACTATTTTAATGTAGGACTAATTAATTTTTCTAAGGATATTTTAAAGAACAGCTTGGAATGAGATTTCCAAATCAAGGAAAACATGCCTTGTTTTCAGTTTATCAACTATCCTTAATAGAGCGTTTTTACCAGACTGTGTTGGGGCAGTCAAGAATTCTATCATTGGGCACTGATTTGTTAGTGGATATTCCAACAAATCTTCAAAAAATGGTTAAGAATACTGAAATAAAAACTGGGCCATGAATAGCCCCCAATGCCATGACAAAAAACATAATTTTAAAACATGTCCTGAAGATGTATGTGTTAGCTACAGATAAAACAGTCACTCCTATTATTGTTGACAGTGCACTTTGTAGCACTGCATAACCTAGCAAAAACAATGCCTCAATTGCTTTTTGGGTTGCTGAGGGTTTAGAACTGGAAACAAATGCATATGAAATATGTGCACAAAAATCAAAAGAAAACCATATACAAATCACAAGATTCATCATGGATACGGAATCAAGGTTGACATGCCAGAATCCCATGAAACCTGTTATTCCTACAATCACAGACCCAATAGAAAAAGTGACCCACAAGGATTACAATGGGTGGGGAGTTAACAATAAAGAAACAATGAACATAGCTACGGATGCAAAAATGACACTTCGAATAGTGTTTTCTAAGATGGCAGAATATTGATCAAAATAGATAAATGCTGGGTTATACACCATTAGGGGAATCTCACACCTTCTGGCAAAACTTTGTAATTGGAATAACATGTTCTTCTTACTGCGTGAAGAAGAAACACCCGTGGTCTGAATGAAGGCCCAGGAAGAAGTAATCTCATGTGATGATGAAATGTTAATATCATATGTAAAAATTGGAATATGCACTAAAAAACAAGGAATGTTGTTTATAAAACTACCTCTGTCATTTACAGCTAAGATGTTGGCTTCCATATACTGTATATATGCTTGTAACCAAAACTGAGTTAGATATTGAATGACAGTAGTCACTGTTTTCAAATGTGGTCAGACATTTGCCCAATGTTTGCCTAGCGTCTTTATCCCAGTAGTCAACTGCTTCAGTCATGATAACCATCACTATGGGACCATAATCTGAAAAATGCTCTTCATGGATGTTAAAATAGGGTGTGATATAAGAATTGCTACTTGCCATATATCGAAGGTCTAAACCTTCCTGCACTTGGAAACAGCCATGCATACTGAATGCGATGTACTGAAGGTATAAAACCACTATCACAAACTTGGACTTAGTGTTTGTGAGAAAGGGGCCAAAATAATCTCTAAAGAACAAGTTCATTGGATGGATGCTTGATTCTTCATCAGTTCGAAGAGAACTAAATGGGAAGCAGCAGCATCTTATCAGTGAGGAAGAATTTTGGTCTGGGTTACCCTCTGACTTTTGCAGCCTGCACAGACAGGCCAATTCTCTCCTACCATCTAGGGCCATAAAGGCACCAAAACGTGTGATGTTATAAAAATAACAGAAGAGCAAGGTTGTTCCCGTGTAAATGCAAAAGTACTGCACGGACTTAAAGGAGGTCATTACCCCTGTAAAGATGGCCAGGGCATTTGTGAGAGTGGTGATGGTGATGGACACCGCCACGTGGGAGTAGACGTCAGACATTCACTTTTGTACGCTGTCCATGATGTTGGTCTTCTGTCAGGCAGAAATCATGATAAGCATGTCATCAACGCCAACACCCGTTAAAAAAAAATCTTAATGCATATTCATATCCGTTTGCTGCAGGAGGCCTTGTTGCTCCAGCCAGATAGGATACTGACAAGCAGCAAAGAAAAAGGGTCTCACACCGTGGGGCTGAAGATCTGGCATCCCTTTGTTTTTTGGTCTTGGTCGTAGAGAGAAAAAAATTATCAAAAAGTATATTAGGCAATAAATTATATGTATCAGCATACTGTAAGTAAATAGCACGAAAAATTGTTTGTTTAGAAATTTGTTGTTGGGCAGTTTGGCCCACTTGACTATGGGAGATGGTTTGTTGAACATGCCTGACAAGCATTACAATACAATAATTATAGTGGGTCCTTTTGCCTTCCCTTGAAGTTTCTTGGGATAGTTTTTAAATAAAGCTCTTTGAGTTAAGGAGTTTCTAGGTAAAGGAAGTTCTGATAGCTGAGTAGCAGCCAGCCCCTGCTGTGAAGGCCATTGAGAATAAGAAAAGTCTTTTTTTTGCTTAGTCTTTAGCTGATAGGGATGTACTGGCGGCTATCAATTGTCTTAGGTTATTGTTTAGCTGAAACAGTGAATTTTAGTGTAAGACTTAGTTTTTTATTAACCTTGAAGGTTGCCTTCTTGCTGAGAGCACGTAGTGGACAATAGCCCATAGAAAAAGAGATGTACTAATTGTTTCTGCTCTGTTTCTATGCACTTGATAATGTAATCTCAATGCTTGCAAAAAAATGTATAAATAAAGAACCTGCTGAGCCTCACAGCAGAAGATACTAACACCTCAGCAAGTGTCGGTGTCTTCTCATTCCCTTCCCCTCAGTCCCTAAGTTTCAGATCATTCGTGTTCGCCGAGGCTGTCTCATCCTTTCAGGAACCCTGACACGACATTTTGCCGGAGGCTGGTCCCCAGCATCCATTAAAGTGTAAATAGCACAGGGCCTCTCCGGTGGTGCAGCGGTTGAGCGCTGGGTGGCGAAGCTGCCCGCAGCCTCTGCAGCGCTGGTTCGATCCCCGGCTGCTCCCCGGTCACCGGAGGAGGGTCCCGCATGGCGCGCAGACCTCTCCTGCCGCCCGCTGCTCCCCTCAGCAGTGTACTTCAGTCCTTCTGCCTGCTCTGCTCCCCGCTCTGGCTCTGGTGAATTCTCTCACCCTCCCGCGCTTCTGACTGTACCCAGTGCTTGTATAAATAAATAAAATAAAAATAAATAAAATAAAAGAACCCTGCTTAAAAAAAAAAAAAGTGTAAATAGCACAATTCAAAAGGTTTCCCCCTTTTTTCTCTTTTGAATGAAGCAACATTGTTTTACATCCTTGTTGAGTTCTTGACAGTTTAGGGGATTTTTCCACTCAGGTGTGGCCACCTTCACTCTCCCAGCACCAACGCACCTGTGGTCCTCCACCAGAGTCCTTGTGCTCTCTTCCCTGTCCCTCTTGCCACCCTTCCCCTCCTCCCCCTGTTTCCTGGCTGTCTCAGCTCTAGGGAAGCTCTCAAGAGTTGCTTTGAAAGTTTGTCTTAGACCCTTTGTCTAGTTTCCCTATATTCCACATCTAAGTGAAATGATCCTTTGTCCCTTAAGGTCTTATTCTTTGTCCCTTCAAGTTTTATTTATCTCACACAATCTGTGCTGAGGTATCACTTTCCTTGGTTGTCTCTGAGTCCACAACAGAGCACACTCCTTCCTCTGTCATAAGCTTGTGATTTGCACGGATTCCTATTATTTCCACACAGCACAGTATACTCCTCCTCTCCAATTATGGTGCCTCAGTGTTGAGATCAGGAAACCTGGTGGATGTGTGTTAGTTCAAGCAGGATTAGCAATCTGTTTCTGATTCCGCTAGATCACTTGAGAGACCTTTTTCTCTCATACACCATTTCACAGAAATGCACAAACACTTTCAGCCAACATTCTGTTACTAAACCTATATGACCACCAACAGCATCAGTCTATCATTGTGGTATGACTTGAGAGGCACAGCGTCATATGCAGGCACGTGCACACTAGTTTTCCTGCTAGTCTGTTTCTTGGTGGGAATATAGAGGTTTCCTATGTTTGAATTCACCAATCTCCTGTGGACAGGGGAGATGGTTTTCAATTAGTTTTCAAATCTGAATCACACAGAAATGAACATACTCTACTTTTTGGAGCATTTTTTGAATTATTAGGACATTCCTAGATGTACAATGGAGAGGTAAAAGATATGCACCTTGAATCCCTTTTAAGCCTTTTGATTTGATAGAAATATTGGACTAAGAAAAGTATGAGCCAGTTGACAGTCTTCTCTGAGCAATAGAAGACAGCGTTCATTACATACAACCACCCCAAAAGTTTCAGTCTTGCAATACTTATTAATCTATTAAGAAAACAAGGCATCTCAGTTTTGGTTTAATTTGCATCCCTTGATTGAGATGCCATATATTTGCCCCCCTTACATTTTCAGTGACCTGTATTTTCCGTTTTCGGTGTTGTATGTGTCTGTGTGAGAGAGAGAGGGTGGGGGGAGAGAGAGAGTGAACTGCCTGCTCATGTCATTATCTTTACTTTTGCATTTGGGGTCCTTATTTTTTCCAGTTCTGAAGACACAATTTAATGTTTGTCTTCATTTCTGACACCTTATTTTGGATTTGTAGTCATCTAATCACAGTTATTTTACTTAATCTATCATAAACTCTCTGTTATCTACTTTCTCCCCAATACCCTCATAGTGTAGCCTCTTATTTGCTTTACTCATCTAGTATTAGAAATGGTGAATTTGCAACTATTGGCACAAATGACACCCCTGCGTATAACATGAGTCCAAAGCCACTCACCACTGCCAAGGTAACAGAAATCACTCCAATGACTGCAGTAAACATTTTGTTACGTATACAGCTAAACCTGTAAATAGGGAGGGAAAATGATGTATTTTTAGCAGCAGCTGCCATACTTAAATTCCATCACTTCATGACATTCTTGATTTGGACCTGTTCTGAAATCTCTTCTGCAATCATTCTACACCTGTCTCCTGGAGACCTTTAAGTCCCATGCACTATCCCAGACCAACTTCACCAATTGAAAGAGGGAAAATAAAAGTTGACATTTTGTGTTTTTTACTTAACTATCTACTTATGCATCTGGCCAAGCACTAATTCCCTGATGGTGTTTCAGAAACATACATGTACTAGAGCACAGCAGATGGTTAATTCCACTCTAGTGTTCAAGGAGTTGTGTGTGAATAGAACACAACACAAAAGGGCAGGCAGCTGTAGTTGAGAAAGTACCCACATCCAATTATCTTTGCACTCATTTTCTGATTCCAACTAGCTATAAACACCAACCTAAAGGGTTCCTGTACAACAGAGATAGTATGCGGTTAATAAAATGCATGAAAGCATCCTGCTAAAACAGTTTCAAGAGTCTCCTTTAATGATGAAGTGGGTCCTAGAAAAGTTGCTATTAATTGCAAAAAAAATGTTTTGAAATGTACTTTTTTTTGGATCAACACAAGACTTTTCTGTTTCTCTGTTGGACCACCAGAAATGGGAATATAGAGAGAGCATTTGAAAGCATGTATGCAGTACTTTGCCTCCACAATAACCACATTACGTTTTAAAATATTGACAACAACCTGTGGCTTTATATTTTAATTTTATGTGAACAGTTTTAAAACAATAATTGATAAAAGTCTCTCTGGACTTCTGTAGGAAAAAGAAACTAAGTTTGAAGACTAGGAGAGACAACTAAGGAAATGGAGGTACTGATTCCAAAACAGAATGTGACTAAAAGACTTTTTCAGACCATATTCACATAGCAAAACTTTCTTTTTATTAAAAGGTTTCTGCACCATTGATGTGTTCCACTTTTTCTCAAACTGCTGGTACCTTGAGTTAAATTTAGGGTCCAAACGCACACACACACAAATTTCAGAGCTAAAGTAATCCGCTTGGGTTACAATAAATTTGAACATAATGAATATTTTCCTTTTGCAATAATTCTTGAAAACAGTATTTATAAATGTTTATGATAAGAACATAACAAGGATGAAGTTCAAATGCAAAAAGATTAGTGAGAGCTACACAGGACATGTTTAGTCTCAATCCCTTTTACAAGATTCTCATTTTTATGTAAATTTTTAGACACTGAGGTAGGAAGGTAAATTGTTGGCCACAGTGACTCTACTTTGACTAGTTGTGCTGAGATTCTCTAAACAACTATTAATTGTAAGTGAAGGAAAGATGAAAATGGACACTGTAAGAGACTTATGAATGTGCTTGCAGATATTCTAGAACCCTACAAAAAACTTGATAGAAGCAGTTTATCAAAATGTTTAGAGAATTATCAAACTTTAGATCTTGATTCAGTAGGTTTACAATGATGCTGCAGAATCATTGTACCTAAAATTTTTTCACACGATTCCAATGGTCAGTCAAATTGAGGCAGCGCTGGTAGCAAAATGGCCTATTTTCTGAATATTCTAATAACTTGACAGCATCGGGCTGAATTGAAATGATTACACTTTGAAAACTGTATGTTTGGGGAGGAGGCCACATCTTTCTAAAAGATAATGATGTCTGTTAAACACAAGAACAATTAAAGTATGTTTGAGAAGAGAACGATTTCCCAGATTTTATCAGAAGTTGATCTAATGGTATAATAAGTTTTGTCATTTCTAAAATGCCAAATTTGAAATAGTCTACAAACTCAATATACCACTACTTGCCATAGAATGGTGTTCAATTTGGCCATACTCTCTTGGGAAGGTCTTACTGTTGTCCAGATGATTTCATTCCAAGCCAAAAAATATGGAATGCTCAAATGTGTTGAATCCCTGAGCTAAACAAACATAAGATAGTCGTATTGATAACAGAGAGACGGAGGGCGAGATGTCAGAAGAATCTACAAAAGCACTAGCAGGTAAATCAGTTACATATATTCAAGTCCAAGGAAGGCAAGTATTAGGACTATACTCAGCACTTGTGCTGACAAAATTTCCTGCTCCTTTTCCTCTTTGTGCCTGCTCCAACCCAGGAAGTAGTCTTGCAGTATGGAAAGGAGGAAGGCATACTAGACAAATACTATGAGAAACACTGTCTTAAATATGCTCAGAATACTAAAGGAGAACACTGACAGGGAACACGGTATATGAATGAAATAATAATATACATAGAAAAACTTCAGAGGAACATAACAAATTCTGGAGCTGAAAAGCTAAAAAGCCAACCAACAAACACGCACACAACACAAACAAGTGAATCTTAGAGATGCTGTCCAGATTTAGCATTGTGCTGGAATTACTCGCCAGAGCAATTAGACAAGGAATAGAATAAAAAGAATCCTTTCAGCTGGAAAGGAAGAAAAATATCCTGTTTCACAGATTACATAATCGCAGATATGAAAATTCCAAAGCATCCACAAGAAAACTACTAGATACAAGAAATTCAACAAAGCTACAAGATACAAGAACAACTTATAAAAATCAGCTGTGTTTCTATTTATGTGCAAAAGGGAATTGCAAAGGATATTAAGAAAGCAATTCTATTTAAATAACATCTATAAGAAGAAAATACTTAAGAGTACATTTGACCAAGAGGTAAAAGATGTGTACACTGAAAATTATATACACCGGTGAAAGAAACTAAAGAAAACCTAATTTAATGGAAAGACATCCTTACTTGATGTGAAGGATTAATATTGTTAAAATGTCAATCACCTAGAAACCTACTAATTCAACTCAATTTCTATTGAAATTGCAATTTCCTTTTTTTCTTTTTCAGAAATGGAAGAGCCAACCCTCAAATTCACTTGAAATTGCAAGGAGCCCAGGATATCCAAAACAATCTCGAAAAAGAAGAAAAAGTTGCAGGAATCAGATTTCCAGATTTCAAAACTTGCAAAGAGATACTGTTATGAAAACAATATGGTATAAGCACGCAAATAAATATACAGAATGACAGAATAGAATTGGGAGTCCAGGAATAATCCATAAATATTGCCAGTTGATTGACAAAGTGTAGTAAGTCTAACAAACAAACTGGAAAGGTCTCTTCAATAAATGTTTTTTGGAAAACTGGATCTTCACATAAACATGGATGATGCTGGGACCTTACTAAATACCATAAACAGAACTGAAACAGACATTGATCAATAATCTAAATAAAAGAGTTAACACCATAAAACTTGTAGAGGGAAACACAGGGTCAATATGCATGACCTTGACTTGTCAATGGACACTTAGATATAATACCAAAAATACAAGTACCAAAAAAAATAGATATGTTGGATTTCATCAAAAAAAATGTTAATCATTACAGGCCATTCTCAAGAAAGTGAAGAGACAGTCTATGTAAAGGGAGAAAATATCAGCTAGTCATACAGCTGATAAAGGGCTTAATAAGTGAAATATGCAAAGTGCTAATGAAAAACGTGAGTCAACAACAAAAGGTCAAACAACCCAATTATAAGAAGGGCAAAGGACTTGGATAGACATTTCTCCAAAGAGGATACACAAGAGGCCGATAAACAGTTGAAAAGACAATCAGCGTGATCAGATATTTACAGAAATGCGAATCACCACAATGAGATACCACTTGACACCAACTAAGACAGGTAATATCAATAAAAGGTAAAAGAATGAGTGTTGTTTTATAGGGAGACTGTGGAAAAACTGGAACCCCTATCTACTGCTGGTGGGATCGAAAATGGTGTAGACTCTGGAAAACCATGTGATGATTCTTCAAATAGCTGACTATGAAATTCTCATACAATCCACCAATTCCACTTGTAAATGATTCTTTTAACATGAGCACAGCATGTTCCTTGCAGTGTTACGATTGTCAAGAGAAGGAAATACTCCATGCCTACAAAAGACTATGGATAACCAAATTGTGGAGCACACATACAATGGAGCACAGAGCCATGGAGTGGAATGAAGCTGTCACATGTGCACAAGGACAAACCCTGGAAGCATTATGATTAGTGAAATAAGTCAGTCACAAAAAATGTATGATTCCATTGACATGAAAATCTAAGAAAAGCAAATTCATAGAAAGAATAGAGTCAAGGTTAATCAGGACTAGAGGAGAGAAAGGCAGCAGGAGCCACTGCTCACTGGTCACAGAGTTCCTCTTTCGGGTTATGAAAGATGTTTGGAAACAGTCACGACAGTATGCAGCCAAGGGGATGTGGTCGATGCCACTGACCTATACAATTAAATGGTTAGAATGGCATGTGTTACGTTAAATATCTTACAACAAATATTTTTAAGTTTAAAAACTAATAAAAGTTTTTTTTACCTGTAGCATGACATGATTGCAAACCACTGTCCTAGCAGTCGCCTCAAATTCCAGTTCACTAGAAAGTGATGTAAAGTAGACCACCTGTCGTAAAAGTACACGCAGGTAAATAACTTTTAATTCCAATATTTGTGTATGAGTGACAAGATCTATCAAAATATTATAGCTTATTGATTGTAACATGTTACAATTTGGTAAAAGATTAAAATATGTAAATTATGATTTTAGAATAAAGGTAATAAAAATTTTTCTCCACCAATCCATGCCATGCTTTCTAAGATTTCTTTCAAAAATCCAATGTTGGGCCTCCCATGGTGGTGCAGCGGTTGAATGATGGGCTGTGAAGCTGTCTGCAGCCTCTGCAGTGCCTGTTAGATCCCAGGCCGCCAGCGAGGGTCCCAACTGATGGCGACAGACCTCTCCTGCCACACCCACTGCTCCCCTCAGCAGTGTACTTCGCCAGTCTGCCTGTTCTGTTCTGCGCTCTGGCTCTGGTGAATTCTCTCACACTCCCACACATCTGACTGTGCCCAGTGCTTGTATAAATAAATAAATATATTTTTTTTAAATAAGCCAATGTTTGACATTTCTGAGTATACAAATTATCAATTTTATCTAATACTGTGTAATCATTAATAACTGACAAAATTTTGGCTTTTTCTAAATGACCAGTAGGTTGCTATCTTTTGCTATTTAAGTACAAAGTATAATTTCAGCAAGGCCTGGTATCCAAAGCCATTTCCCAGCAGGTGTCTCTCACCAGGCCTGGCCAAAAGTATGAGCAGGTTTGCTTATCATCTGAGGTGCCTGGCAGGATGCTAGAAAATACTTGAGAAATCTGAGCTAGCTGTGTTTTTCAAAAACACCAGGGACTACAGCTTAAAGGTTTGTTTTTTATTCCAGTAACACCAAGCAAGTTTTTGTGGGCTCCAGAAACAGCACAGACGTGAAGTGAGAGAATTCTGAGTAGAAAACCCAAAGGGACCCTGAAGATGAATGTCTGCCCTGAACACACCCACCCCTGGGGTGTACAATGAGTGTTTTCCACCAGAATGAAACCCAGTATCTAGAGTGGCGGCTTCCCTTGGTGTCCCTTGAAGAAAGCTGGCTTAAGCATCAAAGAGAGTGGAGCAGAGCCGGTTTTAAGTCAAGGCCTCCAGCAAGTAGCCAGGCGTGGACACATCCCTGGACAGGTCTTATCCCTCCCACCTTCTCCTCCCTCTAAACCCAGCCCAGGGCACCTGGAAGTTCTTCAAGGCCAGGCACTTTTCAATGGCATGAAATTTGGTCCTGGAACTCGAGCAGCCACTTCTGGCTGTGTGCGCTGTCCTCGGGGTCCGCGGTCTTCAGTTAGTACTGCAGCCGCATGGCCTTGGCTTGCAGGAGTAACCGGCTAATCCCCGTGCCGGGACCTAGGACAGTCCCTCCCAAGAGGCCGGCCAATAGAGGGGAGCAGCAGAGGTGTTGTAAATAGGGAAGGTGATGCTTTTCAGGTCCATGTTGTTATTCTTCTGCCAGATGAACAGGAGTGGGTTGGAGGGCATGCAGGTGCTCTGGTACCTGGCACACACCTGAGGGTAGAGGACCTGGGTTCCATCTCCCCAGGGCGCGGTCAGCGTCTGCACCGCCTCGTCCAGTTGACTCATTTCTGAGAAGATGATTTGATCCAGCAGATTGGCAGTGTTGGAAACCACAAGAATGGAGGCTAAGTTGACCTCGGCGCTGGACTGCAATGGGGAGAAGAGAGGTGACTTGTTGGTGGAGAAATGTGCCTGCACGAAGTGCCGCTTGGCTTTGGCCGGGCTGCCCGAAGGGGTGTCCTGCTCCTCCAGGCTCTCTTCTGTCTCACTGGGCAGGTTAATCCACCCGGTGCCCAGGACAGCCGTAAACGCCAGGGGAGCCTGCAGGAAGAGCCAGGGTTTCGAGCCCACAGCCAGCCCCATCCTCTGGAAACCCCGGGCAAGGGGCTGCTCCAGGCAGTTGGTGTGGCAGCGGGGCCTCCCAGGGGGTGGCTGCTGCCCCTGGGCTTCTGGGACCAGTGAATGCCCTCTCTCAGACGGCTGTCGGGGTGGGTCTGAGAAAGGCCCTGAAGCCCAGCTAACATATGGGCTCCTGCCCCTCACTGGACTCCAGACCTGCTCTGGCTGCCCCGTGGGGGCGGGGAGCTGCTGGGGCCCAGTTGCTGCCTCAGGATCTGCTCTGCTCTCAGACTCTGGCTCAGGCCAGTCCTCCTGCTCTGGCCTCCCATGACCCAGAGAAGTAAAGGAGACAGTTTGCAACAATGTAACAACTGCAGGGCCCCATCAGGCAGGGCTATCCCAATAGTGGGAGGGCAGAAAAGCCTGAAAAACCATTTACCTACAGAGGAATTTGGCTTTCTTACAATTCCTAAGAAATAAGATCAGGCCGATTTTTCTATGGGTTTACCTGCTATGTTTGATTTGTGTAACTCTTTCGTATTGGGTGCAGAGCTGGAGATCACAGCAAATATTAGCTGAGACATGATGGCATGCAAATGATATGTCATCAGAGTTGGTTTGTTTCTTAGATTTCTTCCTTTCGACTGAGACATCGCCCTGAAATTTCATCTGAGTATGGGAATACACTTTTCCAGGGAAGGAACCTCCATACTTTAGAAAATACCGTCTGTATGAGAACAGGAAAGGAATTGGGATATTAAAGAACATAGTTTAGAACTTAACATTTTATCTAGTCTGCATCTTAGGCATAAGCAGTCTAGATCAATTCAAGCAGACAAAGCATAACCAGTGCTCAGTCACCTGCAATCCTTATCTTAATCAGTATGTAGTTTCATTCTCCTTCTGTTCCCCAGTTGTCCTCAACTGTGGACACTGTACATGTGCACTGCATATTCTATGTCCCCATCTCCTTCTTTTTAGTCCCAATCTCTCAGGTTAGCTAGAGCTAGTTTGGTTGTGGGAAAAAGGGATATTAAAAAGGGCTTTTAAATTTGTGTGTTAGTAAGTAATGTGATTGTTTCCTACATTTGACCATAAGCTCTTCAGAGACAAGAACTGTAGCTTATTCATTCCTGCATTTGTTACCCATTGGAGATTCTATTTTATTCAAAAGTGGGTGAGAATATAGCAGTGGCAGCAAAGAAAGGAACTTCCAAATGACTAATATGTAACTGCTTATTCTCACTATGCAGATGGCCCTCCTGGCCTTTCTGTACTGCAGTTTTATTTAATTAAGATGTGGTAGACACATTAACTGAAATGGATTCTGTACTAAGTAGATCCTCTAGGATTTTTTTCAGATGTCTTTACGCTAAATGAGATATGAGGTATCTTTTTGTATCTACTTATGAGCCCTTTTTCATTTCTTCTTTCTTCCTTGTTAGGAATTAAAGCAATAGAGTTGTTCCAATTTGTGTAATAAGCTGCCCCTAGGCATTATGAACTCCTCATAGTTTTCTTTTTCTGGGTTAAAATCGTAAGAGTTGCACCAGACGTTGAGAAGGGGCTCTAAAGCTGAAAAACGAATAATTCAGAAAGAAAGTGAAGTAAGGATTAATAGCGCCAACAGCAAGAACTGATCATGAATATAATATGTGGGGGGAAACATTGATAAGTTGCGTATCAATATCATGGTAGTGTGGTCAACTCTTAACATCAGTGGCCTCCATTGAATCTTGACTGTCAGTATTTGTGACATTCCGTGGTCCCTTTCCTTAATGACTCTGGGTTTGGCTAACTTGGTCAAATGAGACATTAGTAAGATTGAGACATCAGAGGATTGACAAGTTTTTGTGCATTTGGAACTTGTTGGCTCTGAAACAAGAGAATACAGGGTCCTGCTGAATTGGGATCAGATTCATAGCACTCATAGTAAAATTTTTAAAGTAGTTACTTTAACCTTGACCTTAAATTCCTTTTTATATAACAAAGTGAATTTCCCATTTTCTATAATAGAGTGATACCCACAAAGAAATAGCAGAAAACAAACTGGAGATTGCTTAAGGGAAAGAAAAATAGAGATTTCATTAATGGAAGTATTAGAAAAGGAGAAAGGAGACATTGAAGGTTGTACTCAGCACACAAAAAGTAAAACAAGCAAACGAGATCTGAAATATTGATGAGATAGGACTTTAAAAGGGAAAATAATTTAATATTTAATTAGGTCAGAGAGTGACAATAATCTGAATAAATTATCAGAGTAAATAGTAGTAATGCTCCCAAAGGGGAACCAAGTGTAGAAGGTAAATGAATAGTTGGAGTTCTCTTGAAGCATGGAAGAGCTAGTCAGTGGTTACAAAAAAAAAAATCAATGGATTTTTCTATTTCTATTTTTATTTCTCCATATGTATACATGTTCCACTCATCCTCTGCCAAATCACTCATGGCAAAACCCCCTTGGCTTCTCTATACTGGCCTCCTTCTCACTCCCCCCACCCCGTTTCCTCTGTAACCATTACATTGTTTCACTGAGTTTAAGATCTATTCCTGCTGTATTTTGTCTGTGTGTTTTTTGGTTATTCATGCTTCTCAGATGAGTGAAACCATCCAATAGCTATCTTTCACTTTCTGATTTGTTTCACTTAACATAATTACCTTGAGGACCATCCATTTTGTCCCCAAAGCCACTATTCCATCTTTTTCACATCTGTATAGTATTCCACAGATGTTTAATCCAAGATTGTTGACCATTAGTTTAGACTACTTCATGCATTAATAAGTACATTTCGAGGGATAAAGTTACATATAGATTCATGTTTTACCTGAGCTCTAGTGGACCAAGAATTTCTAGAGTTAAATCTTCTCCAATTAGAAGCACACAGAAGAGAAACCTTAGAAAGGAACCGAGAAGGAAAAACTGATCAACCTATGGCTGAGGCAAGGATCCTGAGAAGGAATTTGGATAAGTTTATGTAAGTTAGTAAGGTGTCGATGGACAAGACTTAATTAAACAATGAATGGTTTGATAATTCAGAACTTAATATTTCTGTCCTCAAAACAAACACATAGGTCTTTGTTTAAAAAAAAAAAAAAACAACAACAACATATCTGATCCCCAAATCAAGTTAAAGCAATGGAAGGAGAGAGCTCAGTCCTAAAAATCATGTCTGGGGGGGCGGAGCAACATGGCGGCGAGGAAACGCTGCGAGTAAGATCTCCCATTAAAAAAAGTTAATAGGGAGGAAAAGCGGCAGGTCCCAGTGAGAAGTGGGACACGGAAGATAAACGGGTGACTACAGCAAACTGCCCGAAGAAGAAAGTTGCCAAAAAAGAGGACCAGAAGGGAGGAAAGCGCATAACCCTGCACCCCTCCCCTGCCCACAAAGTCGGCACTCTCCGACCAGCAGAGAGGAGGAAAAAAAAAAAAAAACAAACTAAAACGACCAACAAGAACAAACTACGCAGCAAGCGGGGATGTGAGTGGAAAGGAACTATTTCAGCCACCACACCCCGTGAACGGGAGCTGTGGAGAATCCTGCAGGATTCGCCCTGGAGGTGAGCTCCAGGCGCCATTAAAGAGAGCCCCCCCCCCAGGAGGAGACCACCACCAGCACACAGCCCTG